GAACTTGTGTGGCCTACAATAAATGCTGCATTTCCCTTCAGGACATAAACCTAGATCGTTGTGAACATGCTGTGTCATTTTCCAGTAATGCAGCAAAACAACTTGAACCCTGACATTACTGTTGGTGGTTATACATTTGCTGATGACTCAGTGTTCATTGCTCATGTTGCTGAAGTGGACAGCAATACATCTAGCTTAATGTTGTCTCAAGCATAGCACTTTAACCACAAGAACCCGGTTTAAAGTGCCAGAGGAATAAAGAAATAAAACCCTGAATTTAGTCTTTTTACTTTACAGGTACTGAAGTTCATAGTGGGTCTCTTGACAACAGAAACAACAATGACAGTGTGTGGGTAATTTTACGATGTGGATGTGGGAACATTTTCTGGATCTTATCTTTGGTATCTTGATAAGATAATCAACAACTTCAATCACCGGTCGCAAAACAATGTTGTTTGTGATTACAATAGATAATGAGCTATCTCTACTCTCTATTCCTCTGAACTGCATTTTCTTGTTCTACCGAATTAAAACTCTGAGCACAATGTACCATGTGGCTAAATTGTGTATTGAATGTATAAATGCATGCAGTGGGGTTTTCGTTTTGGCTCTATCCTCTATCTGTGATCTAATTCTAGTGTCTTGAGGATATTAATTAGCCAAGCCGATCTTTAGAACCACCATCAGAAGATTTTAAATATAAGTATATGGACACTGAAGTAGCCATCAGGACCTGTGGGAGAAGCTTAATGAAGGAACCAGATGTGACCTTGGTACCCTCCATCAGAGAGCCAGATCAACAGTGAGTCCTCCTGGCACTGCTCAGTTTTAATTAAACATACCATAATATTATTTACCAGCAGGTGGCAGTCTGCCATAAGCACAGTCAATGAGGCCAGAAGAGAGTTAGAAATAGAGCTCTGGTACAGGGAATTGGTGTCAGGAAGAAAATGCAGCATCAAGCTTTAACAGCCACTACTGTATAAGGAGAATGTGCTACTTACTCAAGGAAATGAATTCTGCTACTAAACAAAACTTAAAACCCTCTCTGTTCGATCTGCTCAATAAAAACCTTATGAAACCATTTATTATGTCTTCGCTTTAGCCTGGGTTCACACAGATGGCAATCTTATCCTGCATTTTACAACCTTGCTTCAAGGCTGCATTTTCAAAATACCTCCTGAGGCAGAGATTTAATTTTTTTTAAAAGGGGAGATAAAATATTGATGTTGTTCTAATTTTGTAAGCCTGTTTTGTGAATAATTGATTGTTGGGGAAATGAGTTTGTTTTATTTGCAGGACTAATGCTGTTTTATTGAAGGCTTTTCACACATGCTATGAGCCCTTATTGCTTTTTCTCAAAGGTTTAGTGGGTGGGATGAAACCGTTTCTAAAACACAATTGATCACACAATTGTGTTACAGTGGCTTTAGGTCACATTCACAGCTAAAGATGATGGCAGTAAATCTGCTTTGTGTAATTGCTTGCGATATCACAAAATACGCTGCATGTCATTACATCTTCATATGCCATGTTCAGTTGCTACTGGATGCAAATTTTCCATCTGCTGTAAATTTGCATCCACTCATTTTTTCTTTGCACCCTCTCATTTTTATGCTCATCAGTCCAGATGCAGCCAACAAGGAACTGATGCTCCCACATTGCTGTACCAGAACACAGATGGGTCTGACACAGATGCTCTTCCAGCAGAGGCAAAATTGGTAGCCTTGTTTTTATGACTGATTGCTTTCCTGTGAAATCAAACATGCAGAACAATGCCAACAATCAGCCATATACCATGGTGGATTTTGTTCTGTGCTTTACTGTATAACACCATCATACTGTGAATGCTTGTGTGACTGGATAATAATGCCTATTTTATGACGTGTTATCCCTCCTTTATCTTTCACAGGTCTGCGTCAGAGCGGTGTTACAGCTGTTACCTAAGACAGATGTTGTGATGGTATATAAAGTGTTCTGACAAGGAGCCTTGTTTCCTGTTGTGCAGTTGCACCCGGGGCACAACATGCTTGCTTATTCATGCCGCCTGATCAGAGCCCAGGTGGATCAAACCGCCCCTCCATTTTTAATGAAAAAAAGCCCTTCACCAAGACATAAATATCAAGGCATGCATTTTCCCCTCAGCGTGTCCTAGTGGAGGTACAGAAGGGCTTTGGGGGATTGGAAGATCAATGTCAGTTAATATTGACCTGAAACATGGTTGAAGCAAACCACCCTGAGGAAATTTGCACTTGCGCTGCTGTTATTACAATACTCAGATATTAATTTGACTTGATTCCAACACATGATTACCACAATTCACATTTTCGGAGAATTTCCCTTGCAAATATGCACCAAAGCTTTTACTGAATCCAATAAGCACACATGTTACAACATCTGTGGTTTCATAAAGTACAAAGTTGGTACACCCTGAACCTGAGCTGATTTTACTACTGAATGTCAATATGAGGTGGTGGAAAGAGAGGCCCCTTTCTTCCTCTTAGGATCTGTGGTTTACACCCACATTAGCCCCAAGGACAGAAGGTCACTGCAGGGAAAGGTCACCTCTGCTGTTCTATTGGAAACACACAGCTCCAGTATTTCCTTTCCTCTTATTTGTAGATCTTATCTGAAATCTCCTTCAACTTGATATTCAATCCTTCCCTGAAAACTGAAGCTTCTTTGCCCAGGAAACCAAGTCAAAATAAGAAAAGCCTCCAAGACTGAATTCTTAGTGTTATACTGTGTGTAAAATATTCATAATATTGAGCCAGATTATTGATTTATATAAGCTTCCTGCTCAGTACTATATAACATAGAAGTGTTCACATGTCTAGTATATTTTCTACTGTATGGATTGAGTTATATCTGAAAGAGGAGACTGAAGTGAGTCTGTTCACAACTCGAGAGGTGCAGATCTCGCAGACACAGCAGGAGTGAACCGTCTTTACTAGGATTATGTGGTCTCTCCAGGAACTTTATATGTCACCAAATATCAAAGGAATTTGTACACTGAGGAGAGAAATGGGTTGTCAGCGCTGTGACAACTCTTGACTGTTATCTAAGAGCCACTCGCTGCATTATTGCACCACAGTAATGAGAATTCTGACAGTGCTGCGGAACTGCAGCAAGGTACCAAAAGAAAGTTGAGATATCCAGGGCTTAAGGTGTTGATCGTTGTGGAATAATTACAACTCAGGAAGTGCTGACTCGTCGGGAGGACTGAATAGGTAGAAAATAACCTATTTATCATTCTTTAAAAAAGAAAAAAAATGAATAGATACACACTGGGTTGGTGGGTGGTTGTACCTCAGTTAAAGGAATTGCTGACTTTGGAAGGAACGGATTGATGAGGACTATTTGCATCTTTATCTTCAAACCTGCATGAACTAATTATTCTTTTAATCATCTTTTAAGTTAATACTGTCAACAACAGCTGCTTATTAAGACAGCTACCAGGTACGTAGCAACATTAGCTTTCATTTGGAACATGTTTATGCCCCCGTGGTGAATGTAAATCCAATATTCACTCTTCTTTTAGCTCTGTTTTGGTCTGGCTAACTCCTGAGAAAAACATCTTAGCTGCTAGTTGCTATCCGTATCAGTAGCATCCTGTTCCTGCTGGAAACAAAGGTGAAAAACCAAAACACTTAAGTTGTTGAACAGAAAACCAAAACAATGAGCTGAAAGAATCTCCATAGAGATGAGGGGAACTATATATTTCACATAAGTCATCATGTGGTATATTGTTAGTATAAAAGTAATGATTGTAGTCATATGATTGGATGAGTGGATTAGGAAGTACTTGACTGTGCAACTCTGTCTCGTAAGAAATTAGGCTACATTTATAGATTACTAAATTGATATACCAGTCATGTTGTAGTGACAAATGTAATCACTACCTGGATTATGTTCAAACATGTATTTGAATAAACAAAGCTCTACTTTTTATTTATTTTTTTTTACCTTTATTTAACCAGATATGTCAACTGAGAACCAATTCTCATTTACAATGACAACCTGGCCAAGAGGCAGTTATCCAATGCACAGGAGTCACAAATATATCAATAAAAAGTTTAATAATGCAGTACTAGACCCCTACCGACATATTGGCTGGCAGATATTATCAGCCGATATTGTTTTTTTCCGGTATAAAGGGCAAAAAGGCTTGTTTATCTACTTTTATTTATACCTTATTTTTTCAGTGTTCATTTCTAGTATTGGTTGACAATGTAGCCTATATGTTAAATTATTTAACATATTAAATATGTTTAGCTTAAATACCCTGATTCCAGCTCAGAAACTCACTATATTGGCAGCCAAATCAGTAATCTCAATTTTTTTCCCTCAAAAAAACCTTGTCAGTCGGGCTCTAGTCACAGATTTTTTTGCTACATTTGACATTTTAGCAGAAAACTAATCAAATGCGTTCTCAGTGAACATTTTTCTCACTAATATTTTTGCGACTTACCACATACATAAATTAACAAAGTTTCCCCATATTAAAGAACCAGTGTGTAGGATTTGGTGGCATCTAGTGGTGTAGTTTCACATTGCATTTCACTCACTTGCAATTCACTCACACTCAGAGAAATAACAGTGGCTGTAAAACGCCGAAAAACGCAAACAGCCCTATCTAGAGCCAGTTTTTGGTTTCTCCTTCTGTAGAAACATGGAAGCCTCCACGGAGGGCAACCTCTCATTCTAGGGTAACAAAAACACTATGATTCTAGGTGATTATACACTAATTAAAACATAGAATATGTTCTGATGCATATTATATGCCAAATCTGTCAATCTCCTAAATGTTACACCCTTTAATAGAAAACAAAATCTGGACGGCATTTCCTTCAAATGTATTTGCAACAACAATTAGTTGTTGTTTATAAAGTAAATGTAATTTCAAGGTGACAGAGTTTAGCTTTCTGCTCAGTGGTCACATTTTCACCAGAGGTTTCATCAAGCTATAACATAATAAACACAAATGTGTATATTTCACTATTCTATCGGAATCAAGACTGTAAACCTAGGTTGTAAATAGCATTACCTATAGAAAGCATGTTATGTTATACATTATGTTAGTAACTGTGTGTTATGTACAGTCCACCGGGCCCATACATTTCAGACAAATCAAGATACAGGTGCTGTGGATTGCATTAAGGTTTCTGTTGACACTGTCCTTTCAGCCATCCGTGCTGTGTTCACTGCCTGCTCATGCCCAGGAGATGTTTGTCAAGACCGCAATGAAAAGGCTTAACCTTACGTAAGAGATTGTAACCCTAACCCACCCACTTAGGAGAACATCAGTGCACATTCTTGTCCAGAGTTGAGAGTCTTTACAAGAGACCGAACATAATTACTTTACATTCTCATACAATGTTTTTATGTCAGTGGCATTGAACATAACTTAACTAATCTACAGATGCCCCAGTTTGGCATTATGCAAAATGTTGAGCTGACAGTGTAGTAAAGATACTCACAATCTTCAGGTTGTCTTTTCTTGTCCAGTCCATACTAGTACTACTTTAAAATACAGAATAAGGCCATGGAAGCCACTGTGTTTAGTGGTAAGTTGTGATAAGGTTATTATGAATCCATGAAGGGAAAAAAGGAAAACCCCGCTACCACCACCAGCTGGCATGGAGGCTGGATAAACATGAGGTTTAAGTGCATCTTGTCATTCTCTCCCATGAGTAGCTGTCGTCCTGCAGCCAGGAGTCTCCTGCACGCAGCTTCAAAAAGGTTAAAACCTCCCATTCCCTCCAGCTGCTTGCTTCCTATCCCTGTCCATCTTCTCCGTAATGGATCAGTGCTGCTGGATCACTGAGGGACTCCAGTGGAAAAGAGCTAAGGGATTACAAAACCCTTCTATCAGCACATACACACCTCGTTGCTGCAAAAATCTCTCCCATAGTGTCACTCGCTCTACCACTGTTGTGCGATTAAGACCCCGAAGAAGAGATGAGCATTCACAGCTGTACTGCTGTAGTCCCTTATTTACATTATTATTACATTCATATTCTTCAGCCACTGCCAGTTTAAACATACACACAGTATTACAGTAGTAAGATGAACCTGCTGTATTGAACGTAGAAACTTTGATTTTATAGCAAGTTATAACATTTGATAATGTGATACTGACCAACCACAATAACTTATATTGCACATTTTGTAATGTTTACACCAAAAAAAACATTAAAGCTTAATGCCTTCAGTCTGTTACTAAGATAGACAGCCACTGTCAAAAAGACTTCTATTATTGCAAGTTTATAGATATCCTTTTTGTCTTTTGTTGTTACTCTGACCAAACTTTGAGTACATACACTCCTCCTGAGTAAAAGTAAATGATCGTCCAGTGTTTGAGATTTACCAAGTCGCCTCAGTCACTACAGCACTGTAGCACTTCATGCTCCTCATTAGAATACATTCAAATGAGGAGAGAACCAATGCTCGTGCATTGATCATTACTTTCCCAGCAATCAGATCAGTTCCTTGGCTTAGACCGCATTCTGCTCCAGTAAGGGCGGATGTTCTTTAGGCCGTTGTTGTGGTTCAGTCATTTGGTCCTGCTGCTGCTCAGGGGGAGGTGGCTGCTGCGGTGTCAGATCAGAGTTTAGAGTTTTTGCCTGAGGGGGCAACGCTGGTGTCGCCTGCTGTGGCTCTGGATTGGGCATCTCTTTCCTGTCGCTGGGCTGAATCTCCAGAGGTGGTGTGTCCTTGCAGCATAAGTACTGTTGCCAGATTTTCCTGAAGGCCGTGCGGAACTTCTTAATGCGGAAAGCGTAGACAATTGGGTTGACAGCAGAGTTGCCGTGGGTGAGCAGGATGGCGATGTAGAGGAGAACAATGGGCTTTTTGCACTCAGGGCAGAAGAGTGTGATGCAGTTGATGATGTGGAGGGGAAGCCAGCTGATGGCAAAAAGAAAAAGGACCAGGGCCAGCGATTTAGCAAGATTCAGTTCCTTGTCATAGTACTTGTTGGGGTCTGTGTGACTGGTGGTGAACTTCTTATTGTTAAGTTGCTTGTGGATCATGTAGAAGATCTCTGCGTAGATGACCAACATGAGCAGCAGCGGTGGCAGCACCCAGCCGAAAAAGTTGAAATAGACCATGTAGTCCATGCTGATGACGTTTTCGAACTGGCAGGTGATAATGAGGTCAGAGCTGATGGAACCGTTCTGCTGGAGGCGCCTCAGGTTGTTCCAGCCTAACATGGGTGTGAGTCCCACGATGAAAGCCACTGTCCAGCATATCACCACTGCCAGCCCAGCTCGCTGGGTGGTCACCACCCGCTTGTACCTGCCGGAGCAAACGACACAGCATCATGTCAGCACTTTCTTTCACAGCGCTGTCAGAGCATTCATGCTTTCTTTACTTAATTTTTCATTTTGGCAGTGTCCTTGGACTGACAAAATGTGTGATTCCTATTGTTTAAAATACAAAGCCCTTTGACACTTTACACACAGCTCCCTGCAGCACATATTTCCACTTGAATAAGACACGCTTTGCAAACCCTTATCAGTAAACCTTGCCCTTTGCAGCACTGCTGCTTTTCATGCTTCTTTTGTTCAGGGCGGCAAAACTAAATTACAGTTCTTAAAATTGGCTCAATATTGCCTACTAATTTATTACAGCGCTTCAGTGGACACAAGCTGCAGTTCTTGGCGTGCTACAACAGATTTTACAGGTTTGACTTTTTCATTGTTTATAGGGTTTTCTGGATAAGAAGTAGGAGGGAGAAAAAGGTGCAGAAGCTCTGAAATCGTATCACTGCTGTCCAGTAAACAAGATATGACACAGAGAGACTCATACTTGCCTAGAGGCGGGGATGAATACAGCTATCTGGTCCAATTCATGTTGGAAAGTGTGTAGTACAACAATTTATCCCCTTTGGATTATAAATGGCTATGTGCTGATGTTGTAATTGTAAGGGGAATATTGGGCATTACAATAACCTGACCTTTGCTTAAGTATAGCCGGAGGCAAAAGAAAACACTGCAATTTAGCCTGGCTGTCACAGATGCCATGTCTTGGATTAGTATCGATTAGGGATGTATGTGTTAACTTAGGTCTGTGTCTGCACAGCAAGAATATTGTTATTCACACACCGAGCCGCTCTGCTCCGAGGAGATCAGATACTGATCAAACAACGGGAAGTGTGAGAAAAAAAAAGGAAAAATCAAGTTGTGGAAAGGGAGCAGAGCAACTCCTAAGGCAGACACCATTATGCTTGGATGGTTTTATACTTAATAAGCATTCAAGAGCTAAAATTCCTGATAAAGTACTATCAAAAGCCTGGAAGTCGTAGACAGGAGATAAAAAGTTAACAGGCTAACACAGACAATATTCTCAGACAATAAATTCCCCTCTTCCACTAAGCTTATCTCCTCAGCCTTTCATCACACTTCTCAGTCTTTTGTTTCAGCCTGGCTGGCTGCTTCAAATACAATAAGGAGACTGAAAGTCATTGACAGCAAACCTGACATCTTTTGTGCCCTCCTGTATGCAACCCTACAGCCACACGTACACATTCTGTCACTGTACTAATCTTCCACACATATTAGCAATCTTGAGAACAGAGGACCTAATTGAAGCTGTTGGTTGATCAGCCATGCTCTGGTTAGCTGTCATGTCAGTGCTGGTGAGTCAGACCTATATGCATATGGGACTGACAGGATGGATGCATCCTGTGAAGTAAAACAAGACCCATGAGGACACTGATGCCCTGGAACACAGCGCTGGAGCTGTGCTGTTTGTGAGGAGGCTTTTTTTCCTGAGAAACAAAACAGTGCCATCACCACCATCCCTGCCACCTCTCCTTAAAGCGCAGACGGTGAGAATAAGTGAGTCTGTGAATCTCCTTATTTTCATGTGTGGATTACCTGGTCGGGATCTTGACCCTGAGATAGCGGTCAATTGCAATAGCTAGAAGGGCCAGGATTGAACTTTGCGTCAGCACCAGCACCGTGCACGCCACCAGCAGGCAGCTGTAAAAGTGAGTTTGGAGTCCAATGCTGATAGTGATGGCCAAAGGGATGACGAGAGCTCCCACTGCAATATCCGCCAGAGCCAGGGAGACGATGAAACAAAACGTGGTATCTCGCAACGATTTATTAATTTTCACCGCCCAAACCACCATTACATTCCCGATCACAGACGCGACTGCAATCACCACCTCCATCCCTATGTAGAGCGACTGCGCTGATAAAAGTGCTCCGGGCATCCTTGCAGATAATGATGTCCTTGATAAGATTGATTTCAGAGAAGCAGGCTTATAAGAAGCCAACAGAGCACAGAGCAGTCCTTTCTTTTTTGTCAGTGTAGTATTTTCCAAACGAGCTGCGCGTCCATCAGTTTCACGGTGCCCACATTCTCCTGGTTACCATAAATAACTGACAATAAAAATCCAGTTATTTTGAGAGTGGAGAAGCTCGTTAACCAGCAGCATATCTAAGGATGAGGGGGTTTTTCCTTTTGGAGCAGGTGTGGTGGTCCGGTGGCTGTTCGCTCCTGCTCTGTGTCCTGCGCCTCCACTTGGCTGAATACACCTGCTCCTAGTGAGAGCAGCATCCTTCCCCATGCGTTTTGATTTATCCAAGAGGGCGCTTCATCTTCATCAGTCTACGTTTTTTTTTTTTTTTTTCATTCAACAAAGCGGGTTTTAACAAAGCATCTTCTGGATGGAGGCGCGCACACTTGCATCAGCTGTGCAGGCGGGTGCCCCCTCTTTCTCTCTCCCTCGCTGTGCAGTAAGAGCGGTAATGCAGTTGTCGGAAATAGCTGTGGGATTTTTTCACACCTTTTCGAATCTGCTGACTTTGAGTCTCTAAAGTGTTATCTTGGTTATAGTTCATCCGATTCCGTTGCTGCGTGCGATTTCTTCATTTTCCGATGCAGGAATAAACGAACGCCGCTGTAGCCTTCCGCGGGACCGTCCCAAGGAAGTCAGGTAGTGCAGAGGTGATTTGAACTCGCACCTATTTTCTATCCTATACCGCCATGCGCGCCTTTCTCCCACACCCTTTCAGATGCTAGTGGACCTTGCTCTTTTGCCCCGTTGTTCTGATAAGAGGTGAGGCACTGAACTGCCAAAGCTGACAGAAAAATAACACAGATAAAGCTAAGGAAAATGTCATTAGCTTATAAACAATTCCTTAAGTGATAAAGGACTGAGTAAACAGTGGCACAATACACACTCACAATGTGAATTCCACTTTTTGTGCCTCTTTTACCAACTACACTTAATTCAAAACACCTCAGAGAAAAGTGCATCTGTAATGCAAATAGATATTCAGGTCATTCTAAATATATTCATGTGCTACAGACTTCAAAGACCTCCACTCTGAGCCTGCGCATAGCCCCATCCTCCAAACTAATAGGAAATCTATAAAAAAACAGGAGAGACCTATTGATCTGCCCTTTAAAAAACACATCTTTAGCTTTCTTTGAGGAAAAATGATATTTCCCTCTTCTGACTGGATCATTCAGGTGCAGTATCCCAGCGACATAATACCTGCCCTGTCAGAAAACAACCTTGAGTAGTCGAGTGCTGCAAACATACAGGAGTGAAGTACAGCACTGGCATCTTGAGCTCCCTCGCTGTGGTTCAGAGGTCAACAGCATGCAGCTGCTTGAACTCTCTGACCATGGCAGGATCTCTATTTTGACATCCACAGGCAGAGATTGACTGTGTAGACTGGATGAGAAGGCGTCCCAGATGGTGCACTGCGCTCACTCACTGTAACGTATGGAAGAAGGCAGAGGGGAAGTCCTGGCTTTCAGCTGACAGTTGGCACATGATTCAGAGTGAAACAAAAACAAAAAGCAAAGCAGGATAGAACTGTAGTCAATATTCACACCGGGAGACTGCATGATAGCAGGACGGCCAAGAGTCAGCAGGAGCTCCGCTGAAACAGTCTCCATCTGTGACCAGTATCATGGTTTAGAGATGTCAGTGTGAGGTTTAGAGGTCAGCCAATGTACAGTGAGGGAGGAAGCAGCCATATGGTCTGCTCGCGGTGATTGGCATCAGATCCACTTGTGACATTTTAATGAGCATAAGCGTGGTGGTAATGCCTGAGAAATCAATCATTGTAGAGCAAATGGTGTCAACTAACACACTTAGGCCTGAAATTAAGAGAGATTCTGAATGTTTTTACTTCGAAATAAGCCTCTCGGTCAAGGTGGGATTTCCTTCCTTTCCTTGCACTTTTTCAATTAGTTGTCAATCTGTACAAATTCCACTGTTATAGTTCATCAAGCCTCAGTAGAGAGAAGGAAAGGGATCCGCAAAGAGGCTTACTCCATCCTTTCAGGCTGCTGTTTTCTAAATGTGCTTCTCTTTTCAGCAGCTTAGAGACTCAGGGAACACAGTCATGTTCGATGTGGCCTACAGACCTCATGGTGCTGTTTGTGCTTGTTCACAGTCAATGTTTTCACTGCAATGTGTGAGATGTAAAACAGTCCCTGTATCTCATACAGACTTAGCTTGACTTCCTCGCTGAAAGGCCTTTCAGCGAGGAAGTCGAGTTTAACAATCGTGTGACTTACAATTCAGTTACACCAACTGCCATGCCCACAGTGAAATAAGGAAATGCTTCAGTAAACGTCACATTTTGCCATTTGGGGATGTGTGGCCAGTGAAGTGCAGAGTGCTTTGGTTTCATGAGACAGATTCTACAGTTCAACGCTCTTTTAGCTGCTGAGTCCTGAATCAAAGATAGAAAATGTCCACAGTTTATATGTGGCCTTCTAAAACCCAGATCAAGAGTTTTTTGACTGGATAAAAAATGAGGCTGTTCAGTTGAATGGTTGACTGCTTTTAACAAAATCTATTCATTAAATATAAAAATAATTCTTATAGATGACAGAGAAACCCACTAATGGGCACAGTGTGGAGCGCTCACAGCTTGTAAAGCACATCAACCTTTTTGCTCTGACACGGCACAATTTATATGAAGGCTTCAACTGCAGGGATGAAGGACCAAGCACTGAGCCATGTCCATATTCAAATGAGAAAAGATCACATAGCAGTTTCCTCCCCAGTGTCTTTTCTGTTGAACTGGGTTCAAAAACAATATTGCTCAGTCATTAAAAAAAAAGCCCTGGCGATGAACTGCAGTGGTGTTCTCAGCGGACTGCTGAACCAGACAGCAACAACATTATTAACACAGCCAAAGACTTCCAAAGGCGTCCTATTAGCCAGGACTCCCTCCAGGAAAACAGTTTAGCCATTTCAAACAAGACTGGGGCTGTCGAGGAATACTATTGCAGGGTTATTACAAGGAAAACAACACAAGATGGATAGCCTTGGCTCTGTCGCTCAGAAGACCTTCAATGAAATTTTCAGAGAGGAGGCAATATAAGAGCACTCAAGCACTCGCATGTGTTTCATATTCCCCAGATCGAACAAGCACCCGAACAGCTTCTAAACTATTATAGTCACTGGGAATGGATGTAGCCCTCTGTAATTTACATGGAAAATTCTCAAGAAAGTGGTGCATCCCAGAAAAATAGATACTCTAGGCAATCTGTCAATACCAACACAGCCCTTGACTCAGCTTGTTTCCTCTACACAATTAATATAAATTAAAGCTGATATTGTTCTTAGAAGTAAACAGCTGTACACAGTGGCAGGAACAGTATATATATTATGTTATATATACATTTTACTTGTGGGTTACATATCACAAAATACAGTTAAGTGTAAATGCAGCATATTATCATATACTGTACATGAAAAGTACTCGAGAACACGACCTTGTGGACAAACTGATTTTCGTATAAGAGTTCCTTTCAGAGCTGGCAGCTGGCCGGCCCACATTATCTCGCCTGCTCAGTACCCACAGTGTGCCCGAAAAATAGCCACCACATCCATTTGAAGCTCAAGCTGACAGGGTGAAAATGAAAAATGTCAACAACTAATCCGGCAGCTCGCTGTCTGCTATCATACATCATAAAGCCCTCCCGAACTGGGATATTTTGAGTCTTTCAATTTGGTTGATAAGGTTTTGCCAGATAACCCACAGGATTTTAGAAACACTGAGGTCATAAGCCCCCTGAAATATTTTGGACTATCAACCAAAAAATATTCAATAACATTTCCTGATAAAATTATGTAATTATTCCAAATGTATTAAACATGATATACATGATGGTTTACTTGCTGTGTCAAACCCATCCTGCCAGGAATAGACATATTCTGGTGGAAAAATACTAAAGTTATTTGCTGTAACTGAACTATTCCTCCAAAAACTCATGATGTGCAACTGTCGATTGTAACTTAAGACTAAATTGCACTATTAAAACTAAAAAGCACTATTAAAACAGTGTCTTCTTATTAGGGAAAATTGATTATTCACTTTCTTGCAGAGACTCATGACTTTCTATGCTAAATACGAAGTTACAGCCTGCAGCCGGTTAGAATAAAGATTGGAAACAGAGGGAAGCACGGCCTGGCTCTGTCCAAAGGTAACAAAGACTGCCTCCCAGCACCCTTAATGCTCAATAATTAATACACTATAACTCACACTCATTTGCACAAATACAAATACAAATAATGTGTTAATTATTGAGCTTTAGAAGTGCTGGTAGGCAAGGTTTCCTTTGGGCTGACCCAGTCTTTATGCTAAGCTAAGCTAACCAGCTGCAGGCTGTAGCTTCATGTTCATTGTACGAATGGTATGAGTCATTTTCTAACTCTTTACAAGAAAACAAATACGCTTTTCCCCCAATATTCCTTTAACAACATCTCCCTCCTGTAGAAAAGCAGGCTACCATGCAATATAATAACAATATAATTATGTCTGTACATAATTCTGTTGTTCCCCAATAGTTGGGGGCATCACAGGGGATTCCCCGATGTGTTTTTGTCTCAGTATCTGTATGAGTGTGTGTTTGTATGTGTGTGTGCTGAAATGTGAAGCGGAGGTTGACTACAACAGAAAAGCTAAACCCAAACCTTAGGCTCCCTAATGCCTCCACGTCATACAACACCAGCCTCAAATAAGATTACTGTGCAGAAAATACTGTATCTCCCATAGCTCTTCACTCCACAGCAGCGAGTGCCCCTCTCTCTCTCTGCTTCTCACAAAAAATCAAGGTTAAACATACCATTCACAGACATTTTGACACCGCCCACCCTGCTCACTAGGGACTAGAAGTTGATTTGGATGAAAACATTTCTGTTGCTCCCACGGATGGATTTACAGTAAAATCTTCTCCAGCAGCCTACACACCAATCATAGAATTACATACAGAGCTATTTGCAGGCAAACGTGTGAAAAGTAAAATCTAAT